CTAAGTGATAAGCTTATTTTAAGTACAGTCATTAGCTCTCCAAGAGCAAAGGAAGCATGGTTGTGTCTTGAAGGGACTGGAGGGAAGGTCTTTACAAATCTGGTTGTACTGGCAGGACTGAAGTATGTTCAGAGCGGCCCTTTGGTGCTTTTGAAATCTGTCCTGGCACACTGTTTTTCAGCTGAAGAATCTCCTTGCATATCCAGAAAAGCCACCCTGACTGCTTGTGGTGAGAGCTTGCCAGCATATGAAGGTGTGTGTACATTCAGAAGAGATGCGGTCATGGTCCTGGTTCCCTGTGGACTTTCAGATCAGCTGCCTAGATTTCAGAGACCCCCCCCCTCTTGAAGCTGAGAGTCAAAACTGGGCTCTGATTTTCCTTGTGTGGACAAGTCATGGTATTGCCTCCATTCCTCTCCTGAAAAAAAGCGCCTCTGCATGCCAGAGCAGGGAGTGGACAGAGGTGACCATGAGTCTTGAAGGAAGTCAGAGGCTTCCTGCTTCTCCCACCATCACTGAATGTAAGCTACTATGGGATGGGTTCATTTCCATAAGCAGAGGGCACTCTTCAACAGCAGTGAAATAGCTTTGTCTTTCGTATTGAATCACTCTGAGCTCTCTCTCTGTCTCATAAACTGCTGACTGTCTTGCTCAAGAGGCTTTCAGCCTTCGAAAGCAATCCTTTTATGAAACCACTCCGTTCCATCACCTTGTGTTTGTTACGCAGTGCGGTGGGAGGAGAAGGGGAAACCGTGTCAGTACCCATCCATTGCTGCTCTAGATTCACTTAGCAGGATGCAAAGCTGACCCCAGCATAGATTTGGCCTGCTATCACTTGGTTAGGAGTAATCAAAAACAGATGTTTAGTGTTCAATCATGCTTTTTCCATTGTTCCTGCCTCTATCACAGGAATTACGCTCTCTTGAGGGTCATTCAGAGTTCTGCTCCTTGGAGAATCTCTGTTCTTGATTAAAACACCACCTGCTTTTTTCAAGCATCCTTGTCTAATTGTACTTTGAAAGATGTATCACGGTATTCCAGAGCTTTTCAGCTAGCTACCAAGTAGAATTGTTCCTTTGGTTGTTAAAAGAGAGATGAGGGATGTCAACAGCAAGGACAAGGAATGTAGCAGTTACCTGGAGAAATAAGTATGTCTGGTAACATAAAAAGCTCACCAGTCCTGAGTGACATTGAAACAGACAAAAAAAATAGATGAAAATATATTGGATAGTGCACAAATGCTGTTGAACCAACCGTTTAAGAAGATATCCAGTTATTCTGACAGCACACAGTGTTACAGACTTTTGCAATGTTATTAGGAGTCTCCTGCTGCTTGGTATAATCCTTAAACTGTTGGCTCCTTTGGCCATCTGGTTATCACAGAATCACAGAATATTAGGAATTGGAAGGGACCTCGAAAGATCATCTAGTCCAACCCCCCTGCCAGAGCAGGATCACCTAAACTAGGTCACACAGGAACAATTATATAAGAATTTCTGCTTTATTCAAATTTAGAAAAGCACCTCTGATAGAGAAGAATGGTTGTGCCCTTCAGAAATGAAAGGACAAAATGCAGTTTTATTTCATGAACCAGGTGCCCGTTATTCATCAATTATAGAGCATCATTTTTTTGGCCAAGTGTTTATTTCTGAAAACTGCTTTGGTTCAAGTCCTGATTTTGCAAGGTTTGGACTTGCAATAGCCAACAAATGCAGCTTGCTCCTGTTTTCGCTGTGCGTCTGCAGGGTCTGTCTGGCACTGCCCAAGCTGGAGAACCAGGAACTCTGAAGGGCAAGTCTACTTTGTTAGCCATTTGTCCTGGTTTTGCTCGAATAGACTTATTTTCCTTACAGTATCTGGTGAAATTTTTTTGTTTTCATTCTCACCAGCAGATGTTCATAATTTTTCAAGGTTTGTTTTTCAGTCTTTCGCCTGCACCTGTGGTTATAGTTTCCTTTGGGTGTTTTTTTGTTTTGTTTGGTTTTGTTTTTTTCTTCCCTCCTCTCTGCACAAGAGGATGAAGGGCAAAGGGGAAGCAAAAGCCTGGGATTCTCTGGGGCAGGTGACCCAGGACAGATGATCCAGTTGTGATCCAAGCTGACTCATAAAGATGTATTCTATCCCATAAATGTCACACTCGCTGTAAACTGAGGAGTTTGCTGGGGATGACCCCTTCCCTTCTTCCCTTCCTTCCCTTCTACTTCATGATGGCTGTCTCTCTTGGTTCTTGAGGCTTACCTCTCCCCCATTGCATTTCCATTGGTGCACAGCCAGCAGCTGCTGTTTGTGAGCTGAGTATAACTTTGATTGCTTTACTGTCATTGTTCCTATTCTTGTTGCAACTCATTGGTATTATTATTTCAGTTTGATTTATTTTAATCATTAAATAGTCTTTATCTCCACTGATGAGTTCTTTACTCTCCCAGTTCTCTCCCCTACCCCACCAGGGAGTGGGGTGAGTGATAGAGCGGCTTCGTGGTGTTTAGCTGCTTGCCCAGTTAAACCGCAACCCCATTCTGCACAGCAGAGCAAGGCATGAACTGTGTTAAAGGGGGACTCTGTCAGCCGCCCTTTTGCATGAATGTTGGTGCCTGTGTTATGAAAGACAAAGAGAAATCCTGGCACCAAAGAAACTCCGGGGTTAGACACTGCTGAGCATAGGCCAGCTCTGCTTTCTGCCATTATACAAGTTCAGCTGAGTGCAGTGCTGTGGACAACATGACACTGACCAATGTGCAACTCATTTCAGACATTTAAAAAAGCTGTCAGGCATCCACCAGGTCTCCATACATGTCTCTGTTTTCTGTGGGAGGCAGCAGGAACTCAGAAGCACCAGAGGAGAGAACAGGGAATTTTGATACTGATGCTTGAAGACCATCAGTGCTCAGGACCTCTAGCACCTGGCTAAGTCACTTGGCAGAAAGGGGCCAAGCTGACTTCTGAGCCGCAAATCCAGAAGACTCCTTTGCTTGGTTTGACTTGTACCTGGGGAGGAAACTTTAAGTGGGGATCATCAGTGACCTCAGGTATCACAGTGATAGAATGTCAGAGTGCTCAGTGCACTGTTTTTTGGCAAAAAGCACTGTGTGGCTGACGGGGCACTGCTGCTGCTACTGGCAATGGGATTGCTCTCCCTTGCAGTGCTTGTGGCCAGTGAGCTGCAGTCTTTGAGACCTCTCTCCCTCTCTCAAACTGAACTTAAACTTTGCCTCTAGGTTTCGAAGTTGGTGGTGTGAGCAGGAAGGCAGTGTTTCTGGAAAGCCTGTCTGCAGTGTGCGGGAAGAGGCAGGGAATTACTCATTGGAAAATGTTCCTTTGTCTCATCTGCATCTTGGCAAAGCTGTAGGCAACAGTTTGATGAGGAGGAAACTTTTGGTTAAAACTCCATAAAGAGAATTCTTCACCTGAGAGGAACCAGTACATAAGGCACTTCCCAGGGAGATGAGAAACCCAGGCAGAAGGCTCTGCTTCATGAAACTCAAGACAGAAACTTTTCCACATCTATGCTCAGGCTGTTGCCTCTCTTAGGGCAAAATGGTCCATGTTTTGAAGATTATGGTCCCTCTCTGTGTTAAGCCTCTTCCATAATATGTGAATTATTATCTGCTTAAGGAGGGGGATGAACCTTTTGCTCCCAAAAGGTGTCACCACCCCTCACATTACTGAAGCAAGTTTCCTCTACTTCCTCAGTCTTTTCTGCTGGAGTGGCTTTGAGGCATCATCTATGCATTGTGCCCTCAGCTATTCATTGTGCCAGTGACAGACTGACATGTGAGAAGAAACTGAAAACCTAGGTGAAGGCTGGAGGCAGAACAGGGCCGGCTGAATCGGTGTGTTGCGGTGCCAAAGCAGAAGCAAGATGGCATGCAACTGTTCCTCACATGGTGTCCACTTGCAGAAATAACATGAGATCACCAGGACTGTACCAAGAGCTGACTTTACTGTCTGTTGGTGTGAGCTTAAGCCACATTGGCTACCTTAACTCCAATGAGGTGACCCAAGCAGGGCTATGGCTTTGCTTGCTTATTTGCCTGTTTAATTAGTTGCACAGATTGATGCCAACTGTGGGGATTTTTCCAGTGAGAACTCTCATGCTCTATATTGCTAGCATGCAGGCAGTCTTTCCAGTCAGCACACAAGCCCCTTCCTTTTCATTATGAGGTGTGTTGCAGATATTTAGGCAAGAACCGTCACCCTCTTTTAGCCTAACAACTCCACAAGGCCTTAAATCGCACTGAAGCTAGCTCTCTCATGCTATATTTGGTACTCTTTCCAAACTTAGGATTCCTGATGGGATGGGGGAGACAGGCTTGTGGTTACGAGAGGAGACTGGAAGTTAAGTGATCTGTCTGGGAAACCACCCTTGCCACAGATGCCCCTCTGACCTTCAGTGGAGCAATTAGTGTAGATGAGATAACACCAATGCTGTGGACACAGATATAGGAAATGACACATGGTGTTTTGTGCTGGGAACCACATTTGTAGCTTAAAATGCTCTGTGGTTTTTGTTTTCCCTCTGCAGTAGAGGGAAAAAAGTGCTAGAATAACTCATGAGGAGGCAGAGCCTGGGAAATGTCTCCAACTTCCCGGACCCATGTGGGAAAACATCCACCTCCGCCTCTGTGGAGAGCCATGGGCAGCGTAATGCCAGTGCCACGTCCTCACCTGCCTCCTGTCCCCACCCCAAGAGACAGGGCATACAGAGGTGCTTCCACAAGCAAAATGACTTCGGGGCACAGGCCAGAGAGAATTCGGGGGTTACTGAAACCCTTCCCTCCTCACAGCACTGGCCTTTCTGAAGAGAGCAGCACCAAGAGGGACTCCGGAGGGGACCTTCTGGCCAGGCATTTTCCCCGCCTAGAAAGCCTGTCTCGGGGTACCCCGAGTCCCCTCGCAGGGAATCCTTGCGTCAGGCAGCCTAGCCTGGCGCTCGGGCTGCTCCTCAGACTGCCGGACAGCGCACATGCTCAGGGGCGTAGAGGCTGACACTGTCCGTCCCTATGGCGCTCCCCTGCCAAGCGGGCGGCACACGGGACGACCGCCTCTGCTGGAGGGCTCCGAGCCGGAGAAAGGAGGCGGAACGGGGCGGCGTGTTTTGGACTGACGCCTCGGCCCGCCCCGTCCTGCCGGCCTTAAAATGGCGGCGGCTAGAAGGCGGGCGGGAGAGGTTCGAGACAAGG